AATGTATTTCTGTGACAACAGATACAGGACTATGTTATCTTTAGTACCTAGGTAAAATCTAATGGATTTTAAATATAAGGAAATATAGATCTTGGCACATTGCCCTTGAGCTAGAGGCAAGGAAAGTGATCACTTTGAGTACAGGCTTTATAGGTGTCACAAAACACAGTTTACTTGTAGAATAAATGAAGAACTTTACCAAAAGTCATGCACATAACATCCAACAAATGAAATCAAGAACAAGGTTAGTACTTCAGCTTTTAGAGGAACTCTTCAAATCTGCTATACTTACACTCCAAAACTCCTCTCTCAGACTAGAGAAGTTAGCAGCACATCAGTGCCTTTGGAGCACAGACCAAGACAAGGGAAGAGGTGAAGAGGTTTATTGTAACTGGCTTCCCCAGCCAGCTGCTGTCAGATTTTCCATCTCCTGCCCTAACTACAGAGTAAAATGAAAGGGCTCAGCATTTTTGAGGTGACCTCTCATCTCCTAGCATTAGCCTCTGTGAATTAGGAGGAGGTGCACTGGTCCACAAACATCCCATTTTCAGGGAATTTATAACCTAAACATTACTTAGATCAAACAGTTAATACAAAGCATCTTCCTTCCTGAAAATGAGGGGAAGCTTTAGTCACTTGGCACATTTCTTTTACACGCTTTCTTAACACTTAAGTATTTTAGAACCTTTCTGTCATTAATAATCAGGGGCAGGGAGCTACTAACACTGATGTCACCCAGTCTAAGTCACCATGACTATGCCCTGAAGATCAGACTGAAGGTTCCCAGTTCTCCTCCAAAGGCTCTTCCAAACTGCACTGATAACTTATAACTTACCCTTCCATTACGCTTCCATCCATGCAACAAGCTAGAGCTGAAAGCCAGCATACAGGAGTGTCCCCAGGGAAATGCACACAGGCTCAGCAGGCAGGGTACTGATACCAGAAATGTTCAGGTGCCCTTCTGGATCTGATCAGCACGAGTATTCAGGAGCCTGTGAAGACTTTGACTGATGAGGCATTTTCTAAGAGCAGTCAGTTCCTGGTTGTCTCTGTGCCAGTATCAGCTCATTGCTAGAGCTGATCCACTCACAATGGATTAGTACTAAAGGACAGGTCTGTGAGCCTCCCCACCTCATTAATATTCATTTTAGATTTTAAATTCCAGTTACACAAGGACTCATGCCCAAGGCTAGAAGCCTCATAAATTATATTCCATTTTTAAACCCGCAGCATTTGCTCTCATTGTTTCAGAAGGAAAAGAGTAGCAGAGACAGTTTTAGGCAAGCTGCTTTTGTTTAAAAGAATAGTATCTAAAGCCCTGCTTTAACTTCATTAGCCCACAAAGATTTGCACTACAATGAGTCCTGCCTGCAAAGCACAAATACAACTGCCAGCAAATTTTAATTCTGTCATTATTCTGCTTTTGTTCCAGCTGCCAAAGCAAGTGCATATAATGTCTGCAGCTGAATAAACTCAGAGAAGACAACTTACTGAGGGAAGACTTGAAAATAGCTACAACCACCATAAAGAAACCGAATTAAGAGACAAAGTGATTCAATATGTACTTTGTCTCCTGGCAAACATGGGTGAGTGATTTAGGTGATTTTGCACTGAGAGCTACCACATTACACAGCAAACCTGGCTTTGATGGTCAGAAGAAAGGTCCAAAGGAGAAGAGATTGAAGCCTCCTCTGTTAGGATGGGGGCCAATTTTTGGGTAGCAGTCTCTTCCTTCTGTGAAACACCAAGCCTTGTTACACAGGCCAACCTGACAGCACCTGTATCCTTCTAGTCTCCACCACTGAAGGAATGAACAGCAGAAAACTTTTCTGATTTTACCTATTCAAAATGTGAAAGTTGCTGCAGCACGGATTTCATGTTCAACAGCCTGTTAGTTTAAAACTCGGAGAGGTAACTGGAAACAAAAGTATTTGACATCATTCTTCTACTTGCCTTCTAAAAAGCCTTCAGCAGGGAGAGGAGCAGACCAAGCACGTTTCCCAGCACGGCATGAGTAGGCTGTCACTTGTATGGGATGAGAGATTTTTATCGAGCTCCTGTTCTGCAGATGCACTATCCTTTTTATAAAGAATTAACTCACATCCTCTTGCCCACTGAGGCAGCCACAGAGGTGGTAATTACAGCCTCTCATTTAATGGTCCATTAGCTAGAGGAGACATCATTTAAGTGAGTAAGCCCCAGAAAGTACACATGAAGCACATGAATATACGTATGGAAATCAGAATTACAAAATCCTCTGGAATTAATCTGAAATTCAAAGGTAAATATTTTAGCTGTCCTTTAACTTTGGCAGCCTGGATTGATGACTTTTTATCCCCATCTTTAAATCACCATTCCCTAACTAGGTTGGTTTTAGCCCTCAAAAACTTCTTCAAAAGATGTTTCCCCATTTTGACTCAGCTCTGAAAAACAAAGATTAACACTCTCAATCCCACTCCCAGTGGTGGTGGGATCTTGTTTACCTTCCATATCATGTCTGACTCCCACAGAAAAGCCCAGTAAACTCACAAGGGTACAGATGGGGAAGACCAAGCACAGGAACAAAAGAACACCGCCTCTGGAGAATTCCTTTTTCCAGTCACTTAATTTCTAGGTATAAAGGAACTGCTCAACTCCAAGAATAGCTGAAATAGCAGCATCCTTACTCCTCTGCAAATGCAGCACCTCTCCAGTCACTTCCCCTGTTCTCCAAACTGCCCTGCTGCTCCTCCCAGCTCCCAAAGGCTGAAACAATGCACTGCTTCCTTCAGTGATAGCCTGCAGCTTTCCACGGCACTCTCCCAAACAGCCTGAACACACTCCTGTTAATTCCCATCATCAGACCCTTCTCCATTCTCCAGCCAAGTCCAGCTTGTCTTTTTCCTACCCTCTCCATTCCTGGCTTGCTCTCTGGTCCCTGCCTCCCCTCCATGTCTGGAGCAGCCACAATTGCCTTCCTGCCTTTGCTATATAAGGAAACCCCACTGCAGCTCCAGGGCTGGCTAAGAAGGGAAACTGCATCCCTGAAACCCCAGAAACTGAGATTACTGTCATCATAATGCAATCCAATAACAGTCTGACAGTGGCCTTTTAAGTCACTGTGCTTTTGAGAATTACTGCAGTCACAGAGTGCAAGCTGTCAAAAATCCATTAAGATTTCACAGCTTGATCAGCAAAAAAAACACTGGTAAACTGGCAAGCAATGATCAACAATCAGTAGTAATTAACTTAATATAATCTCAACCCATCTGTTACTCTCACAAAACAATTTTTAAGACTTTCTCAGATTCCCAATGTTCAAAAAATGAATCTTTTTGTTTCCAAGGAATGCATTTGTAACACAGGCATTCAAAACAGAACACGTCTCCCTGCTCTTTACCATTTGCTGTATTTTGATTTTTGATCTTTCTGTAGTTGGTAGGAGTAGGGTTCTGTTCAATTTGATTTAAATTTTTTGCAATACATTAACAGTCTAATAAAGATTTTAAAAGACAAAATATTTTGAGACTAATTTTTTTTATGTACTATTACTATCAGTCTCAACCACTGAACAGTACAAATTGTTCAAGTATCTGTTTCCCCTTCCAAACTCTTTTAACCTTTTATTTTTTTCCAGAACTACATTTAGATGCACACGCAGGAGCTGTAAGCAAACGTGAGCTTCCCTGTTGCTAAGTAACTGTGAGCCAGAGCCAGCCCTGCCACTGTTGTAAGCAACAGCACCACAGCTGCCAAGTTTGGAATTCAGTCAGCGTCAAGAAATGTAAGCTAAATATTTTGGATGAGACTCCCAATCTTCTTAAAATGGGTGTGAGCAACAATGAAAGAAAAATAGATCTCTAGATGACCAGACTCATGAGTAATCCTAACGTTGTGGGACTCTTTCCCCTACCAGAACATTCAGGCTGTATTTCAGAATGCTGAATTACTATTTATCTAAATTAGGCTTCTTCCTCAATTTCCACTCAGCCCATTAGACACTGCTTTGAGGTACTATTTTCAAAACATTATTCTTTGTGTTAGAAAAAATAATTGTGATCATTCAGCTAAATAAAACCTTTGTTTTAAAGTACCTTTCTGAAAACCTTTCACTGGATGTTTTCTGAAAACCTTTCACTGGATGTTAAGACCTGCCACTGTAAAAAAATCTTAAAAGCAAATTCTAATGCCCATCTTAATGTAATCTTAATGTAGATTTGTCCACACAGTTTAGTAGGGAACTTCAGTTGTGCAATTAAAAACCACATTTTTATAGTTTCTAACTTACTTTCTTGTTTGTCAACACAATCAGAGGTCCACTGTTTCAGAAAGCTAGAACAAAAGGCACTTTTACCTTAAAGCCTCAGTCCACAGTTCCTCAGTGAACTTAAACAAACTGAGCCTTATTCTAACTTCATTCACCTGAGTTACACACCAACGTTTCACTGTTTGAACAGTCCCCAGATGAGAGGCTCGTGCAGAAATAAACAGCTGCTCTTTTCCAGTTTCTTACACTTGTGCCTTTCCTCTTACTCTGTACAACAAAACCTGGGCTGCCTCCAGGACACTGTGTGTGGTTTCACAGATAGATTTCATACCTACTGCACTCTTATGCAGGTTATGACAAGTCTAGATCTAAAGATCCCTGAACTCTGCTGTTAATAAACTGTATGCCATTCCTTTAAAATGGCCTTTAACACAACAGAATTTTTTATTTGATGAAGAAGTCAACTCCACCAATAAGCACTACTTTGAAATACACCACACACTGCTGTGCCAGTAAAATAATTTATTAATTTTACAGAAAACAGAACTCCTGGGTCACCTCTTGCTCCAGTGAGTTCACTGACCCTCAGACACCTCTTTGGTGTTGCTGAGAAGCAGGAGCTGGGGTGCAGAGCACCTTCACAGCAGAGACTCCAGCTCCACCACTCCAACCTCACTACACCTGCTCACATGGCCACAGACAAAAAACACACACATTTTGCTCCACAATTTCTCCAAATAAAGCAACTCTGACCTCAGTCTGAAGATTTCTCTTTATTAGCATGATATTTTCCATTAAATATTCATAAGTTGTTTGTTCCAAGACAAAACAGACACCACAGAAACTTGGTAAACTGCCAGACTATTAATATTTGTACTCCTGGTATCTGGAACACTCACTGTTCTTAACAGCATTTTATGGTCCTCAATGCTGTGCAGGATTAAAAATAGTATTTAATTCTTAACTCTTATTAATAAAATTAGTAAGTTATAATTGAGAGAAATAACACACAGTAGAATACCAAAGGCAGTAAACGAAGACAGAGCCCAGGTTTCATGTATGAAGCTAAGCACCACCAAAAAAAGCAGCTTATTGGAGGGAGTGAGGGGAAGATGAAGAAGAGGTACCTGACCTTTTCCTGGGGAAATGCTGCATGATGACACCAAATGATTCATGTGAACCATGTTCTGAGCTTGGAACTTTAAACAACTTTGGTGAAAGCAGGTTTAGGCTTTCTTCTGCAGAAAAAAATTAAATACATTTACATATTAAATATATTTATCTACTCTCATTGCCTCCTGCCTAATCAATTCCTTTTCTCTTACTTGGATGGCACATCCCAACCAACAGCTGGCAGTGCCAGAAACCCTTTTAAAGTAAGTGCAGGGAAAAAAAAAAAACCCAAACAATTTAGTACATCGATTCACAGATATTTTCAGTTCATTATGAACTCACAACATCTGTGGAAATCACTCAATGTCTGATGTGCCATAATGCAGAAAAACTGATCTTCATCTCAACCAAAAAACCTGCTTAATCATTTATAGCGTTGGGAACCAGACTTAAAATTCTGTAACCTGTTTTGAAAGTAGTAACCCAAAAAAAGAAGAAATAAAATTATTCTATTATTTATTAGAGCTGTCCTACCACCACTGCAATGAAGATACAAGTACAGTCCAAGACACAAGGAACAGACACAGAACTGCTAATAGCCTACATGATCACTGTTTCACTCAAACACCCCAAAACATAGAAAAAACTACAAAATAAAAAAAAAAAATCGAAAAGCACTATGTAAAACCAACCTAAATATCTTGTTTGAGAACTGATATTCAAAGCCAGTATCTCATTTTTAGTCTCTTTCTCAATAAATCCTGCCCAACCACAGGACAATGATAATCTGCAGATTATTCTCCAATATCTTGTCTCAATTTTAACTTTTTTTAATCAACCATACAAAAAAACCTGGACAATTAAAAGAGGTTTGCAAAATTTGACCAAAGAAAACTTCCAGGGGATCTGAAAGTGCTCCCTTAAACCATTTTCTATTTGATTGCTAATTTAAAGTTCAGGATTCTCTGGTCCTGACAAATTATCCAACTCCACCAATCCTCACACCTCAAGAACTGACGTCACACAACTGATGAAGCAATGTTTCAGTGCAGACATTTGTAGGATTTTCATTTCCCATGCTAGGTAGGGGTGATGTTCTAAAGAAAAATAATCTTTGAGGTTGCTTCCCCTGAAAACTAAACACTACCCTCTTCCTGGCCTCCATGGTGAGAACATCAAGAGCTGTTCAGGATACGGCTGCCATCTAGGAGCAGAGCAGAGGAAATGCAGAGGGATCTCAAGCCAAAATTTCAACTGTGAGTCCACTGCATAGTCAGACATGCTATTACACAAAGCTATAAACACTGGAAGCCCAGATCTTTGGGAAAAAGAAATGGCAAAGTAGTGGCAAAATGCAAACTTGTTATAAGGTGGTTTACAAACAGTTCCCAATACAATCCTAAACTAATTGGTTCACAACAAACAGTTTATCCAGTCAGGCAAGTCAACATGTACAGAGCTGCAGTGGTATTTCACTTTATCTTCTTTTGTTCATTAAAACACTGCAGCCTAATTCACTTTTCCTGAAAGACTATTTTTCCATGTGAGGTTGCAGGCTAGAAAAAATGCAGTGACACAAATGAAGTCAGCCTGAACCACAACGACAGCCAAAAGCAGAGCCTAAAATCTTACACTGAAACTGAAGTCACAAAAAAACCTTCACACAAGCAACTTCCTGAAGCCTTACCATATTTATTCTTGTTTCTCAGAAACTATGCAGTTTCCAAGCAAGTCAGAACTGCAGTACATAGAATTTTACTCTTACATCATTCAGCTGTCACTGGCTTTATTTTAGTTTCATAGACCGAGAACAAATACAATTTACAATTATAATCTCCAGTGATTTGCCAGTGTTTCATCCATGGATCATCTCTAACACACAAAAGAAAGAGCTCTTGAGATCCACCATGTTGATGCCTATTTTGTACAAAGCAGACTCTTTCCAGTTCAGTTACTGAATATGTTCCAAGAAATCTGCCTTGGCACACCACAGTTACCAGAGCTTTTGGAAGAGCCTGAAATGTCCTGTCTATTTAGGGAAGAATGGCTTGCTCCTGGCTAGTGGGAAGAGAAAGTCAGGTTTCTTGCTTTGCCAAATCCCCTGGCAAAGACACACTCGCCCCCTAGGATGTTTTCAAGGCCACCTGCTTCCATCACAGCTTTCTCAAAGACACTGGAAGCCATCAGGGGAAGAAAAGTAGCATGAGGATATAGGAAAGAGATGACAGAAGAGACCTGGGGAATACAAAGAGAAGAAATACAGAAATAGAACTCAACCACTGTCTCAGGAGAGCCTCTGCCAGTGAAGGAGAAAAAAATGGCCTTGCACATTTGAGAGGTACCAATGTGTTTTGGAAAAGCACTGACTAGAAAAGGCACCAATCTAAATGTAGAAATTAACTTACAGTTTTGTCACATCCAACAACATTAACTTCAATCCTGTGATGGTAATGAATTCCGTGTGCAGGAGCAGAGATAGAAACCTGTAGGAAAGCAGGACAGAGCACTAAAGAGACTGCTTTGGCAGCTCCCCCTGTCCCTTCCTAACACATCTCATTCCAGCCACAGAAGTTAACACCAGCCTAATCACATCCTTAAGTCAGAACTTCCCTTTTGTCACTGGGACTTTAACAACTTACCAAACAAACTTATTCTCTGTCCTGAAGACTGACTCACCTGTTCTTACTACTGGTATCTGTGACAGGCTACAGCTCTGGGAAGCACAAGTTTAATGATGCAGAGTAGTAGGTCCTGTATTTGCAGTTTCTCATTTACTGGAATAAAGACAAATGTGTTTTAGTGGCCTAAGCACATTTCCACACCATCTCTCTCATCCAGTGTTAATAAGGATGCAAATTATTCCTTAGGAGTTAAGAAGTAAAAACCACTTTCCATGCTTCCTGCTTTTACTTACACGGTTTGCATTTGATCAGTGCCTTGTGGCTTAACTTGAAGCTATCACAGCTCCTTCTGTTAATCAGTAACTACCAACAGCCTGTATTTGATAGTCCAGCTTTATTAATAAATATCTTGGCTTCCACCCAGGGATCAGTTCTGTAGCTGAACCTCATTGGGCAATTCTCACTATTCAACGTGATATTGAAAAGCTCCAGTAATACTGAAGAAAAAGACATTTAGTTGCATTCCCCCTCCTACAATAGAGCAAATAAAAGGTGACTAAACCCCAGTGCGTCAGATTTTATGAATGCAATTATCTCCTACACCTCCCCCCTCAGGATTTTACACAGCTTGAGGCTTTGAGGGTTTTTCTTTTTTTTGTAAAATACAGCCCCCATACAGTTACTAAAGGAAGAGTTTTGGCTGCACTTGCACTATACCACTTTAAGAAAGACTTTGTTGAATGTCTGCCCTAGGAAAGGATTGTTTCTATCAAAACAGCTGATTTTTGCACTCAGACTTTGCTTTAGTATTTACAGTCAGCAATCCAAACACAATACCAATAAGAATTATGCTTTTAAAGGACAGACAAAAAAAGCTATGGGTAATAAAAGGAACTACCACATCCTCGTGTTTTGGAAATACCAGTCACAGGATGCCAACTGCAGATCTACATTTTTGATGTCCCCTTCTCTCCCTTTCCAGTAAATAATGGGCCAAGAAAGAGTACAGGACAAGAACTTACAGCTGAACAAGGCAGATACTCAGCAAATAACTGTGACAAAACAAGTGCTTGGCTCTCAAACTTCAAGACCCCCAAAGTATACAGTTTTTAGAAAACAACTCTATGGAGCAAGAAATTATTTTCTAGAGATAATTAAGAAAAATTATGAAGTTGTCTAACAAAATAATCCTCCCAAATGAAACTACTTTAATTTTCTTCCTACCAGAATTATATCACGCCTATTAAAAATGTAAAACTGAAGTCATACCCAGGATGAATACCAGATTTGTAAGAGGATTAAAACAACACACCCTGAGTATCACAAATGTACTTAATTCTCAGTTCAATAAAATACTGGAATATCAATTTATTAAAAAGTTATGTGAACTGTACATACATAAACTGCAATATAGCTGAAAAATCTGAAATATATAATTTTAAAAGAAAATCATTTATTTCTGAAAATATTTAAAATATTGCATTTCTGGCAGCAAATTCAAAAGAAGTGCTCTGGGATGGGTGCAGTCTCTCTGTGCATTTGTCTAGCATTTGTCTTCAAGGCATGAAACATATTTGCTTTCTGATTTTTCACAGCACAATCTTGTGACCACTTTCTTTCTGACTTGTAGAGACAGAATTCTATTTCCAAGAACAGGAGTAGAATTTTAACAGGAAATACTACGGTCCTTGTTGGTGCAGACAACACACTTCCCGAGAGTCCATGGCACCTTGGAAATCTGCTAGCCATCCTGCATAAAACTGCATCAGATTGTGCTCACAAGTTACAGAATAAGTCTTTGATTGATAATTTTTCTGTTTATTTCCGCCAAGGCCACTGAAAATACGAAGGCCTTTTCATCTGAAAGGTTAGCATACATGTCAACTTCTTTTTCTTGTTTCTCTGTAGAAGAAAAAAAAGTCACTATTAGAAGCTTTTTCGAAGTTAATGCAAGTTACACAGAAATTAATAAATTACGTGAAGTAGTGGAATTAAGTTAGACAATCAACTCCTATGCACAGAGGGAATGACAAAGAGGAGGAAGTAATTGAGGCACACAAAGGTGCTGGAAGAGCTACAGAATGAGTCAGCCAAAAGCATGACTGAATTTCTCTTCTTTAACGATGAAGGAAGAATGAGTCGTTAACATAAAAATAAACAAGTATTCAAGTCTCCCTTCAGGTTTTTTTTTCGTTTTAGTGGTTTGGATTTTTTTCTTTTACAGAACCACCTCCCATCCAAGAAAACAAAGCTATTTTACAATATTCTCCTTAAACACAAGATTTTCCCCCTTTACATAAAATAACTCTACATAAAAGAAACCCGGGAGTTTAATGACAGTGTCAAAGGCCAAAGAGCAGATACTTGGATGAAGTCAGGCTCCAAATTTATCATCATGCGCATTTCTGGACTTCCTACACTGCAGACTTTCCATCTTATCCCAGCTGTAGAACAATGCTAACATCTCATTGAGCAAGTAAAAGCCCTTGAGTTCCCTGTGCTGATGTCGGCTTGCCTCAATGCCACAGACACACAACAGGAAGCCATAAAAAAGTTTCTGTGCCACAGTGCTCAGATAAACTAAGTTACACTACAAAAATCCATAAAATAATACAGTTTGAGAAATACCACTTTAAAAAATACCACCTCCTCCAGATCATGACTAGTTCTGTCCCAGTTCAGCTAGCCACAGGTAGCTGACACAAATTGTTAAGAAAATAAAGCAAACAAAGAATTTTGTCAGAAGACCAGGCTTGTGGACAGAAGGGAGAGAGAAATACATCCAGAGCTTTCAGCTGTGGAACTCCATCTCTAATCCAGGTGTGGCCTGGACTCATTTATAATCACAACACAAAGCTCACATGAGAGACCCCTGTGTCACACACATCCACACTCTGGCAATACTCCACCAAGACACCTAAACTAGCATGGGAAAGCCAAAGGAAAGGCAGCACTGGAAAATAACAGAAAGCACGACCAGGAAAAAAGGTCCCAGCATCTCCTATCTCCACCCACCCACCCAGTTACCCTTAAATGGGTTCACATTCATAATAATGGTTTTAGATTTGGCTTCACATTTCTATTACAGCTACAGAAAAAAACTCCAGCAGACTGCCTTCTGTGTGAAATCAAGTGCTTGTATTCAACAGCTAAGTGAGAGAAGCTCCAAAATCCTTTACCACTATGTTCTGATGTAATACTGATACAAAAAACAGCAGAAACCAGCTTTTTGCTGACTTCCTGGCTATGCAAGGCAATATCCTCTAGTGTACTGAGTTTGACATGAGTTTGAAAGTGAGTTTCGCTGCCAGTCCCACCCGGCAGTTTAAGACAAATCAGCTTCTATATGTACACTCTGGGTTGCTCCACTTCCTCCCTCTCACCATTCAAAAATTAACAATGCTGGGAGTTGTTCTGAGCACAGACACTACACACACTGGCTATTCCACATTAATCTTTTCTATTTTCATATCTAAGTCCCACCCCTTGTTTCATACTTCCTGATCCAAACGAATCCAGCCACAACTTGAACAGATCATCACCAGCAAAATTAAAAATACTCTCCCTGCACCGCACCCTGGTCTGCTGTGGACTTCTTAGTTTCCCTTCCTCCCTCTCCTCCCAGATCAGCCTTATTCTGAGACTTCAGCTTGCTGAAATCTTGATATCAAAGAGTATGAGGGTTTAACACAAGTGTGCAAGGACAATTGTAGTTCTCATCAGTAACAAGTGAAGAGCTCAGACCTGTGCGACATTTTATCATACACCAGTCCTAGGATACCACAGCTTCCACACACATTCTGAAAACTTTCCACTTCAGTCTTATGTGAGAATAGTTTTGATTCATTTCTCTATTATGAGCAAAAGCAAAACAGCATTGTGTTTCTGCAAGACAGTAAGACATTAAAAACTAGAGGGTTGGCTGTACAACTAAGAGGCCATTAAGGCAAAAATAGTTTTTCTGGATTATGTCTCTTGCATCCCCAGATCTCCTACAATCCCTTTAGACTGCAGCCCTTAAAACAGTGATTATGTATAAATCACATATGGACTCCCCCTTCACAAATTTTGTATGGATTCATTTTTCAAGATAGCAAGTTACTTCAAATACACACACTGGACAAGGAAATGTGAGTAATGCAGCTGGAAATTACTGGAAAAAGAAAACTTGCATCATGAAAATGTATCCAACTTAAGTTTTATCAGGATATTGAAATGTATGTATATACCTTCATGAAAATTTGGCTTGCTAAGTAACAAGTCTGCTTTAGCAAGTCTACTACTCTTACTGAGACTTGCTGGTAACCTCCTTCAGAATAACCAATGTCTCTTCCTCCAGTACATAAGTGATTTTGTTTGCTTTAACACAATAAGGGTTATTACCCAGATAACAAGGCAACCTGGGAACCAGTCTAGCTGTGTCTCACAGTCCCACATAGTAAAACAAAGAATACACCTCCACAACATAATCAGAGTCAAATTATTATGAAGTGTTTGTATTTTCAAAACACACTGTAGTACATCTGACAAAGAAATTAAGACAATTTTGACAAGCCAAGGCTGCAGGGAGGAAGTTCCTGTTTTCCAGAGTGATCACATGGCACTGAAACATGTGATAGGATGATTTTCTGGTACTATACTATACTGTACTGTACTGCCATATCCCCTCAATCTACAACTGCTTCATCTCTCCTCCCCCTCCATTCCTTCTTGCTAAATCTGCAGGGAAAATAGCTTATTTTAAAAAGCCTTTTTGCTTATTCTATTCTTCTTAATTGCTGCAGCTCTTTGCTCTAATGTGAGCCAGTCACAAAGGACACAAAAGAACCAGTCAAAGGCACAGACATAACTGGGAACAAGCACACTGTGTATGGAATTGCATGACAAGCAAGGAAGCTAAGCTACAGATGCCATTTGGGTCTTTAGGAAGGAAATGTTCGCAGCTGGATGGTCTTCAAACATACAGATAATATGTTCTTCCATGTTAATACAACTGAGGTGTTTTCTGTCTGCCTGTTTTTCCATCTACAAATGCATGAGGAACCAAATGTTCTAACACTCATGCAAAGCAGTGGCTTCTTTTCAAGTCTTTGAGGCAAAAGCAAAACCTCTAGTGGCAAGTAATACATACCCTAAATATCCTTGAGACATCCAACAGGCAAGGAAATAAACTACTGACATCTTGCACTCCAGAGCTGACTTTCAATACACACAGACTGCTACAAGGACTAGCAACCACTCACACAAAAACCACCTTAACTGTAGTAGAATTACAGTTGTTTAATATACACAAACAACACTTCCAAGCAGCAGATGTGGTAAAGGAATAATATTTCTAAAACTCCTGCTAATTACTCCACACATAGTAGTTTCAATTTTGTAAGCAACTTGAAAAGGGAGAGGTCAATATTAACTTGTTTTAGTAATTACTTACAGAAGGATGAGTTCCCTGCTGAATTTATCTTCATAGCCAAGACAGCCTTACATATCAATTTTTTTTTTTAATCTGCCTATTAATTATCACAGTGGTCTACACACACTACAGTCTGACAAAAACAGAAGTAAGAAAATACTCTAGGCCTACCTACTCCTCAACAATAAGATGAGCTGGGACAGAGACAATGACAAATGGATGTGAGCCAAATCCCTGCACAAGAGGCTGAGGAAGAAACAGCCATCACAAGATCAAGGAAAAGGGATGGTAAAAACAGCACAAGAAGATGAAGGCAGTCTTATCACGTAAGATTCAGCTTTAAGAAAACCCCAAGAAAAGGCACACCATGTACATTCTTATAAGCAAAGATCCCACTATATCCAGATCTCTAATCTTCTGTCTCAAAGCACTGCAGCATTGTCATACCTCAGAGCTTGCAGCAAGAGGTTAGAAACATTCAGCCTCATTATGGATAGGAAAACATGTTCTCTAAAAATTCCTCCTGCTGTCAAAGTCTTGTTTTTTGGAAACCATAAAACATGTCTTAAGAAAATGGATCTTTTCCTTTGGTACCTTAGGTTGCTTTCCTCTTTGTCAGGGGACAGAAAAGAAAATTCACTTTTTTATAGGGTAACCCAAGCAGCTCACTGGAATTTTAAAAACAAGGCTGGCTGTGAACTAGGCTGGCAGTTAAATGCCTAGAAAGGATCCTAAAGCTACCAGACAAAGTCCAGCTTGGGTCAGTAACAAACAGGGAAGCTACACACATCTACAAGTCATATGCCATAGTGAAGAGATTACACACTACAAAGTGCATCTCTATTACAGTAAAACAATTGCCATCTGGAAAATATACAGAAATTAAATTCCACCTTCTCTTCCCACATTGAAAGCAATAAAAAAACCCAACAAATCAAATTTATACTTGGTTTTTACACAAAAGAAACAGATTCACATTAAACAGCAGGGATCAAAATTGCTTTTGAGAAGTAAGAAATCAAAAGAATTTTCAGCATGGAAAAGGAAGGTGGAAAGGAAGAAATAACTGCATTTCTGAGTTATGCCACACGACATACTTCAAGACTTCAGGAGATTTAGGAACAGTATCTGATGTTATTCCCCTTTTATCTGCCTTCCAATCTTCTGAAGTCCATGCTAAGTTTTGGATTCATAATTCGGGTCTAAAATTACTATCTGAAAACACAGCTAGCAAATGCAGTGTCAATAGGCTCTTAGAACAAGAGGAACCCTAAGTGACAGTTACATTCTTGAGGGGTTCTAGAATTACTCTAGCTATGTAACAGCCTCTTGATTGTATAATGATTAAAAACAGCAAGTCACCAAGGAACCTTAACAGGCAAGAAGGCATTCTTCCCTCCAGAAACATGTGACCAAAATTCACATCATAGTAGTGATTTGAGATGCCCTTTTTACTTTGGCCCTCCAAAAAGTTTCAAGAAACTTTTTAAGCAATCCAGTTATCCTAATCCCCTCGCTGACAACAGATATCATTATTAGTCTGTCCCTGTGATACAGAGCAGCAGCACCTCAACAAAAAATAAAACTAAATAAAACAAAAAAAATCCTACTTAACACTTCAGACCAATGGCTTTCAATCTGCATGTTGAAACTTGATACAGTGGCTAAAAATACAGATTTACATCTTTGTAGTTAGTTTCATCACACACTGAAACATAAAACCAGAGGTCTCTACACATGCAAATCAGTCCCTTCTCCACATTAAGGTATCAAGTACCGGCTGAACTAGTCTAGTTTAAATGGTTTGAATATTATAAAGGTTTACTGATTAAAAAAGATAAAAACAGAAAATCCAACAAGCAGATTTCTCCAGCTCTCATACCTCTTTCTTCCTCGTGCTTTTTCGCTGAGGCACTCTTAGGTCTTCCTCTTCCTCGTCTGCTATGATCTGAATGGCTGTTAGACCTGGATCTCTTTCGGTTCTCTAAGTCTTTATTTACTGCAGAATTTATCTTCTCTCGCTTAACTCTCTCTGTCCGCCTCCTTTTGGCCTCACTCTTGTTTTCTGTGCAAATGAACAGAAATGGCATGATCCAGGGTTGTTTTCACCTTTCTTCTTAATTTACTCTTAATGCTTACCCCACCCAATCAACCTTTTCCTTTAAAGTGGTCAGATTGCTTATACCTTTACAGAACAATTGCATCTGCACAATATCCACACAGAAATTAAGCTGCCAGATCCAGAATGACGCTTCACTTCTTGATTACAAAGATCAACCCTTGAATTACTTCAAAAGCCTTTTACAGCATGAGATGGTTGCTGGTTACAGAAGAAGCTGTTCCCCAAATAAGAACACGAACTGCACACATCACAGCCTTTAAGACACCCCATTGTATCTGTTCCACTAGCAAAAGTTTATCATACAGCAAACACCACAGCACTTGGGCATCTTATGACATGAACAATGAAATCATTGCTGGTGCTCAGACAAATCGAATGCCGAGCAAATGCCACAAAACACAGCACACGTGTCCCACCACATCCAACCTGTGACAAGGCCTCCTCATGCACATTGCTGAACAGGTGTGCTGCTTTCCTAAACACCAAAGTCAGTAAAATAAAGGAGTATTTATATGAGTTTCATCTGGAAGTTAAGTATGAATTAATGAGATTGGGTACCAAATATAGTAAGTACAGTGACCACAGCACACTCATGGATTAGCTGCACATTTGTAAGGCAGCAGCACCACTCTAGAGTAGCTGTACTGCTGCAAATATTGCAACAGCATTTTCTAAAAGAAGTTGTGGTTACCTTAGGAGCACAATATAGACATACACAGTCTCCTACTGTATCTCTCTGGGGAAGTGATTTCCTTTGGCTGCAGCTGTCCCATTAATCTTGTACAGACATGGGGCTCAAGCTGGACAGCAGGGTCCAGTCACTAATGCTCATACAGAGCCTGTATTTCACAGTGTCACAGCCAGGGTGAGGTAGCAGGGGAACCTCTTTAGACCCTGTCTAATCCCTGCTCATGTAGGGCCACCAAGAGCCAGCTGCCCAGGACCATGTCCAGAAGGCTTTTGAGTACCTCCAAGGATGGAGACTCCACAACCTCTTGGACAACCTTTGCCAGTGCTTGGTCACACCCACAGCAGAAAGCACTTTCCAGCAGGATGGCCCCTCAGCATATATTAATTTTGCCTTCCCTGGTGCATTTCCTCTGTACAAAGCTGAATTATACAACCAGATTATGGCCTTCAGCTTCATTTGGTAGCTACTTTACCAAGAAAGCGGGAAGAGGAAAGAAAACTGACCAACACTTCCAATCTACCACAGATATTTCTTAACCTCCTCCACTTGAAAGTTGAGTTATCAGCATAACGTCACCTAATTCCTACCAGTGGTAATCTACAGCTATCCTTCAATACATTGATGCAAAACATCAAATAGCTGAGTTCCATTTTGTAGGTCTGGTAGATAATTTTAAAAAGTAGATATTATAAATCAGATATTTGTTGGGTTTGGGATAGGTTTTATGTTTTTATTAAAAATATATATCTTCCCTGTCAGGCTCTTTTTCTGACTAATTCTTATTACTGGAGGAAGTGATATAAATGAACACAAGGAGAATGCTATTCATGCCAGAAAGCACATTAAACTGACTTCTTACTGTGTCTATCAACAAAAGACACACAAGTTAGGCACAAAAAAAGCACTATTTAATTTAATCAAGGAGAGAAAAGCAAGATCCACCCAGCTTTAGATTAAACATTATGACCAATTTTTTATTGTCAGAAAACCAGCTTCAATCAGCATGTGCTCTGAAATCAGATCCTTTTGGGACCTCTACACATTTAGCTTCAAAACAGGATTAACATAAAGCATTCTGTATGAGGTTATTTTGCATAGTGATCAATGTGTGCAGCTAGAACATACACAGAATAAATGCCAACATCACCAGTACAAAGGAAGATTGAAAACACCAGCTTTCCTCCTCTCCTCAAAATTCAAGAAAAATCACCATATTCAAAGTCTACCAAGCACAAATTCAAGGGAAAGTCATCAGATAACAGTCAATTTACACAGAGAAGTAAAACACTATCTTTTGCCTGTAGGAAAGAAGGGGAAAAAACTTGCTCCCTTCTCCCTCTCTGTAAGCTTTACCTGTGATGGGTGGTGATCTCTCAGCACGTTTAGCGTGCAAGAGTTTTCGACTGATAAATATGTAGCCACAGGGACATGATTTACATGCAACAGGAACCTGGAAAAACAAAAGACAAATTTTTCAAATTATTTCAACTTATGACAAAAATGCTGTCCCATAAACAAAAAAACACGCTTTGTAACTCACATTTTGTCCTCAGAGATAACTCTTCAAACTCAGTAATTACTGCAAACTATGGCCTGTCCTGTTACTGTATTTAAATACAGTAAAACCAGATTCTGCTGTAAATCACTCACCAAGCCTTTTCTTTATGCAGTTGCTAAAAATCAAGCTTGAAATGTACAGCTGTTGTGATTGCTTTGCACTACTTTTCCCCAGACTGACAGGAAGGGGGTGGGGGAAAGCAGAAAGCATTAAAGGAAGGCTGAATTAAAACAGAATTACAATTTCTCTTCAGAGCTCTCAAATATCATCAGTCAAATCAGTCAGACATTTCCAGTTTTGCTTCCTCTACTTACTTGTAAAAAAAAAAAAATAATTATGAGTTAAAACCGTCAGTACATTGTGAATGCATTCACTTTCAGCAGCATTTGAAAGCAGCTCCTTTAGAGAGGAGCAGCTTTAGAGGCACAATAGAGCCTGAAGCAAAACAGATGCATTTGTAGCACACTCTGCTCCAGCGCTGCAGACAAGGCCGGGTGGGTACAGAAGGACCTCGTTAATTCAACATGCAAATAACCCAGCCCAGCCAGGCAAGAACTGACTGCAGGCCCAGGAGGTGGAGAGAATACAGCGCCTCTGATCAGCTAAGCAGACAGCAGCAGTACGCTCCCCCAGAAAATAACAATGTAGAACAAGAAATGCCACATTTAATATAAAAAAATAACAAAAATTCACTCACAGCAATTTAAAAAAAAAAAAAAAAAGCAACACTGACAACTTACAAACTCATTACCTTAGTGCCAAGATATTTTGAAATCTTTTAGGGTAGTAAGGAATACAGCATGTTGCTTTGATTAGGTTTAAGACTGAAAACACAAATCAAAGCAAGTTTAGGCAGAGATCTGGAAGAGATTAAACACCACACATTAAAGTGGAGTCATGCTGAAGCATGATAGTGGGGGAAAAAAGGCAGGAGGTAATTTCTTAAATGTAATTCTTTAAGACAGGTCACTACAAGTTTGCCAATGCCCACTGAAACAAACAGGAGCACAGAACCACAACTGCCTCCTCAATTTAACCAGACATGGAGAAGAACCAAGTTCCAAAGTTCTACTGGCTCAAGAAACCCTGCCAAATTAATATGTGAATTTGTAAAGGGGAACTTAACTGCTTCTCAGAATAAACAAATTATTTTGCTTTCTGTAGCACATCTGAGCTCCTGCACGTCACCCTACAAAAGCTTTCAGTTAGACTTTTTGATACAGGTTTTGCAGAACTAGATTTTAACTCCCTTTATTGAGACATCAACATAATAAAAACGAGTCCAATAGAGGTTTATTGAACTTTAAAGGTCAGAATTTAGCAGACTTGTGTGCACGTTTGTCTCCTTGTTCATGTTAGTTTAACAGTACTAAAGCTCCACTATCTTGCAGATAATTTGAGTGTGTTCTTAAGGTGATACAGGGTTCCAGCTAATTCCATTTTGGAACACTTGGGTCCCTCCAATAATTACCTTTCCAGACTCGGCATAAAAAACAACAACAAAAAAAGCAGGTTTGGCAAAGCCACCCAAGGGGATTGGAACAGAGTCAGTGTTTTTCAACGAACTCAGCTGAGTTTAACAGAACAATACTGTTCTCGTGTTACAAGTTTCACACCTAGGGGTGTGCATCATTTGAGGGTGGGGGGCCTGGGGGAAGGGGTTTATCACTGAAACCTATCAGTTATCCTTTGAAGACCCACACTGATAACATCCTGCAACATAACTAAGGCAACAGAGTCCTAAACACTATTTCACACTGTTTAATATTTTCCTAAAGAAAAGGAAATTTTACCTGATGCCCCCTAGTTCAATGGATCTGTGCTTTGATTGTGAAAATAGTGAAATATGATATATTATCTAAATTACAACAGAAAAATGATTTGAAGTCTAAGTGCTACTCAATATTTTGCTCCAGTAATTGTAGCTGTCTAAATATTTCCATGCGTGCCACTTCCACTGCAAAAATCAGAAACAAATGGTAAGCCCTTGCTTATCAAAGAATTTAAGAAACACCAGTACAGGACAGTCAGTTAAGAATTATATGAAAGTTTCCTTCAACTCTGCAAAGGGTTGACTGGTACTGTAGGCCTTAGTTCCTTGCTCCCTCTCAAATATTTGGCAGTGGAAAACAAGGTTCTATGAGCAATGTGTACCGGGGCAGGACATGTAAGCATTTAAAATCTATTTAAGCTACAGAAGAGTTGCTAACAGAAAATCTACATTGACAAAAACTAAAGCACGTGATATGCGTATAAGTGCAGAACAAAGTGACAGTTTTCACATCAGCTTAAAAAGCTACAATGTTTGCTTACTTATTGTTGGTAGTTTGACATTCACTACATTTATTTAAAAAAACCCCAAACAAAAATACCACCACTCTCATATATGACTTCTCCCTCGTTTTCGTTTCTCCTTTCACCAAGTGAATAACCAGAACTTGGCTCACGATTTCTTTCTCAGAAATAGTGTTTCAGTGACGTGCTTAACGTGCATTTGCAGCGGTTGATCTGTTGGTTAAAACATGAAACGACGCCCACACACAGCTCAGCACTGCCAACTGTGCCAGGATGAGTAGGAATACTGTAAAAACTATGCAAGTCAGAACAAAAAAAAAAAAGAGTTGTTTTTTTTTAAAGCTATGCAAGTAGAGAAAAATTAGGTGAGGCTATTTATTTTTTTCTAAGCAAGGCTAAGCCAGTGAATGGGGGTGACTTTCCAGGGTCACACAACAGCGCCGATGCTCCCAGGAGCGCATGTGACAGGCGCTGCCCCTCGGCCGAGCCCCACGGCCGCCGCTGCAGAGCCGGGCCATTGTTCGGAGCTCCGCTGGAACGAACTCGCCCGCTTTTAATACTCACATCGTTCCCAGTAAATGGAGACGAGCTCCTGACACGGCAGCGGTGCGAAGCAGCTGCCGCTCGGTGTGAGTAGCTCCATTTTGCGCACGCAAGGAACCCGCAGCGGGACACGAACAGCTCACGCGGGCACTTGGGGCACAAATTGCACCAAAGGTCTCGGTTTCGCTGCTTCCGAACCGCCCCACGTGAAAACATCACCTCTGAGCCCTCTCCCCCCCACCGCTGGGCACATCAGTCATCCAAAGGGCAAACTGCATTATATAAACCATCCCGTTCATTGTGTTTTTAACGGATCACACAGTTACTAAACAACAGCAGCACATAAACAAGAGGCTCTGCAGTCGCGCAGGAACCCCTCAGCACAATACAACTACTCCACTACCCTGCCAGAGGGACGCGGTGCTCAGCCCGCATTCCAGGCAGAAGCTGCAAAGCCAGCAATCGCTCGGCTCACACAAACCCCGACTCGCAGCCGCACGGAGCCGGGTGCCCGCTCTGCCCTCCGCAGCCCCGCGCTCGGCCGGCAGCCGCTCACCTGCTGGTCGCACTCGGGGCAGGACTTGGTGGCCATCTTCACTTTCTTGGCCCTACTGGAGGACATGCTCGCTGCTGCCGTGGCTGGGCTGACACGGCCGCGGCCGGAG